CGGTACCGCCAGCCTGGGGATTCAGGGAGTGTCCAGTTGGGTGCGGGCCAGCCTCTGGGAGGACTTGGGGGGCTGGCTGGTGTACAGGCCCTGCAAGCATGGCTGCATTGGCCTCATGACTCTGTCCTGTATGGCTCTGGGTTCCCCACCCCTCTGCCTGGCTGGCTCCACGCTCCCTCCCCTCCAAGCTGGGACTCACGGTGGCAACATCTGGGTGAGCAGCTTGTCCGTCTTCTGCTTCTCGATCTCCAGCTCCTCCGTCCGCTCCCGGATCAGGTCCTCCAGGTTGCTGGAGTACTGCTCCAGCATGCGCAGCATGGAGTCGATGATGTTGGTCTTCCGGCCTTTGTTGATGTTCTTGAACTACGAGGGGGGGGAGACATGAGAGGGACGGCTCCCACCTGGCACCAGTGCCCCTGCTCCCCCATCACTGCTGGCTCCGGCGCCTCCTATTGGCTCCAACATCTCTGCTCCCTCTCTGGGCACCTGCTCCAGCATCCCCATTCCCTATCAACTCTGGTTCCAGCATCCCTGCTCCCCTGGGTACTGGCTCCAACATTGCTGGCACCCAAATGTCACCTGTTTCCAGCGTCCTAGCTCCCTGTTGGCTCAAGTGTCTACGCTCCCCCCCGCCCCAATCAGCTCTGCTTCTGGTGGGCAAGGCCAGCTCCGGTACCCTCCTTTCTGCCCCTAACCTACTGGGCTGGCTCATCCCCTGTGCCCCATCCCCCATGGGACCAGGCCACCCACTCCGCTACCTGGTCAAAGATCTGGTCAATGGTCGGCCGCCGCTCAGGCTGCTCGCTCCAGCACTGCTTCATCAGCTGGATGCACTCCAGCGGGGCCTGGTCCACCGAGACCGAGGGACGGCACAGCGGGGGCGGCTTCTCCACCTTCCGGATGATCTCTGCCCATGAGAGGAGACCCATGGTCACCACAGGTGCCTGCCACCCTGCTCTGCCTCCACCTACTGCCCACCTGGAGCTCGGGGGCAGCCCGGAGCTTGGATGGCAGGGGGATGCAGGTCGGGAATGAGGAGAACCGGCAGAGCTGGGGGCCAGGGCTGGGCTAGCAGGGGTTGCGGGTCAGGAGTGAGGGGCACTGGCAGAGCTGGGGATTGCAGGGCTATGCTGGCAGGGGACTGCAGGTTGGGAGGGAGGGGCACCGGCAGAGCAGGGAGGCAGGAGCTGGAGGAGATGGGGGCACAGTCCCTCCCCCCGTACCATCGGCCGGCATGTCCAGCATGCAGTAGGGGGCACTGCGGCAGATCACCTCCTGCATGATGATGGAGATGCTGTAGACGTCCCCACGGAAGGTGCCCTTGCGCTCTAGCGTCGGGTCCCGCAGCAGCTCCGGTGCCGTCCAGAACCGCTCTGGGGACAACAACAAGAAGGGCTGGCTCAGTCGCCTATAGCCCCCCCCTCCCCTGGACATGATGACCCCTCCAACCTGGCCCCCCTCCACCCACATGGGCCCCAGCTCTGCCCCCTTCCCCTGCCCAGACACTTCCCCGGGGCATCACCTTCAGGCCTGGGTGGGTCATGTGGGATCTTCTGGGCCTCCAGGAGCTCATTGTAGCCGTGGTCCGTCACCTTCAGCACAAAGCGCCCATCCACCACGCAGTTCCGTGATTTCAGCCGTCCATGGACCACGTCCCGGTGATGGAGGTACTTCATCCCCTGCAGGGGGGAGGAGGGAGAGAGACGAGGATGAGTACAACTTTCCCCACCCGCGGCTGGTCCCCAGGGCTGCCGACAGCACTGGGGTCCGTTCTGATTGTGTGACAGCCCTGATTGACCATGTGGGAGATCCAGTGGATCCCTCCAACCAAACCAGGGAGTTTGCTCCTCAGTTTATTTGGATCAGTAGGTCCCAGGGACTCTCTGGTCCTGATGCCAGGTCAAGTGAGTGGATCCCTCTGGCTGACCCAGGATTGAATGGATCTTATGTTCTTTGTGGGTGACTGGGCTCTGGTGCCTAAGTGATCCAGTGGATCCACCAGCTCGATCGATTAATTAGTCCAGTGGGTTTCCTCTCTGATCGATGCATTGAACCAGTAGGTCAACTGGATGCCCAATCTGCCCCCAGATTGGTCCGATAAATCCATCTGCCCCAGCCAGTTGATCTATCCAGTGGATCCCCTGACCAGTTTTTTTGGCCAGTGTATCCCAGTGGGTCCCTGACCAGCACCTGGCTGATCCAGTAGATCCTTGTCATCACTAGATCTACTGATTGGGTTCCCTGAGTGTGTTTAACCAATAGATCCCAATGGTTTCCCTAATCAGCTGCATGAATGATTCAGTGGATCACTCTGGCCATGCCAATTGATCTATCCAATTAACATCTTTCCCAGTGTGTTGTGCCAGTGGATCACAGATTAACCCTGTTTTGATCCAGTGGATTCCTCCACTCCAATCAGTTCAACTATCCATTGGAATCCTTGCCCAGTCAGTGTGTTGTACCAGTGAATCCCCAGCCAGAAGATCGATCCACTGGATCCCTTTGATCCTCTCGCTGAGTAGACCTCTCTGGCCAGTGGTTGGTTAGCCCAGTGGATCCCCCAGCCCTACCAACGAGCACAGTCTGGGAGTGGATCCTATCCAACCTCCCAGCCCTGGGGTAGATCCCCTTCCCCTTCTGTGAATGGATTCCCATGGACCTCCCAGCAGATCTCCTCCACCTGGTGCTTTGGGCATCAGGATCCCTTCCTGAAGCCGGGGCTGAATGTGAATGGATTCCCTCTGCCAGGATCCTGCAAGATCCCAGCAGATCCCCTCTGCTTAGCACTCTGTGCGAGAGGGATCCCTTCCTGAAGCGGAAGCAGGCTCACTCTTCAAATGGATCTCCCTGAAACCTTCCAGCCAGCGTCACCTGAAAATAGATCCCCTCCAAACACAGCTGGACCCCACCCTACCAGCAGACCTTCCCTGTGTGACGGGATCCACTTTGGCAGCTGATCTCTGGCCGTGGATCCCTGACATCCAGCCAGAGTCTTGGCCTCACATTATTCCTTCTGGCTAGTCTTCTTG